AGATCCATTATTTACATGTATGAAATTGTTCAGCCGGGCAGTGGTGGCGCACGCCTTTACCCAGCACTTGGGAAGCAGAGGCCGGTGGGTCTCTTTGAGTTCTAGGCCAGCCTGGTCTACAGAGTGAATTCCAGGAGAGCCAGGGCTACACAGAGAAATCCTGTCTTGAAAAACCAACCAAACAAGAGTTATTAACATAAGCACTGATGACACACAGTACCTTGTTGTCGTTAAAGGTCTGAGGTTTTCCCCATTTCCGGGAGGGTCTTTGTACTGGGTACTTTCCCCATCGCCTACACAAAATACCTGGCTGAATCACCTACCGGAAGAAGGCTCCACCACACTGGGAGAGGCATGGGGGCAGGACCAGCCCCTGCCTGCGGAGGCTCAACCCTCTTGCTTACCTCACAGCAGACACAAAGTACAAAATGGAAGTGCTGGGGCTCAGTCTGCTTTCTCCTCTTCCCTTGTTTCTTCAGGCCAGGGCCTCAGCCATGAATGTGCCATCTGAAAGCCAGGCCAGGCCAGGCTCACCCTTTCAGTCGGTCCTGTCTAGATCCACCCTCAAAGATACCCCTATAGGTGTGCTTCACCACTGTGCCTGGCCTTTCTTACTCCAACAAAGTAACAAGAGAAATCTGTCCTCACTGACCTGCTTATTCAGCAGTTAGGAACAGACGGGGCAAGAGCCCTTGGAAATCTTTAAGGGATGCATATGGAGGCGCTTGGTGACCAATACCTTACGTGAGGGAGGAAAAGAGTTACACTATCTGGCCATCCCCTTACTCTTTTAAATTAGGATCTGAAATCTTAAAACAGAAGTTTTAAAAATGCCTCAGAATGAGCAAACATTCCTTCTGGATCCCAGGTAATCTGAATGCTCACCTCTCAGGGGCTTGAAAAGCCCAGGAAAGGCAAGAACGAATGTACAATGTACTCACAGCCATCATTACTTAGACTTAAGGTCCATCGTTATGTGTATTACGACGGCAGTAATACTAAATGCCTTTTAAAAACCATTTAATACCTTCTACAATTTTTATGGTACATCAAATTACAAGCTTCTCATCGTGGAAGAAAATTGTCTACATTCTAACACAGCTACACATAAAATGAATAATTGATAAGCGAGGGCAAAGAGCTCTGAAAACCTAGAGGTATCGTATGGATGGATGATAAGGAATAACGGAGACAGACATCCAGGGCTCCGAAACGCAGCAGCTCTTCAATAAAAAACAATCAGCGAGGTTGGCCGAATGCTGCTGTGCGTTTAATTCCTCCTGGGAAGCCGCTCTGAAAGGCACTCTCCCCATGCTGGACAAAAGGTGACAGCCTCAGAACAGAGCCGGTCACTCTGGAGGTTACAGAGCACCAGGTGACGGGGAGGGAGGCTGTGTGTGTGTGTGTATGTGTGTATGTATGTGTGGTGTGTGGTGTGGTATGTGTGTGAATGTATGTGTTGTGTGATATGTGTATGTGTGTGTGTGGTATGGTATGTGTATGTATGTGTATATGTGTGTATGTGTGTGTGTGTGTGCGCGTGGTATGTGTATGTGTGCATGAATGGAATTCAGTCTTTGGTTTCTAGGGTCCTATTACAAACACACCTGGGGCTCTCAATGCCTGAAGATGGTACAAGTCCTACTTTGAGACGTGCCCAGTGACCACTGGGAACCCTCAACGCTGCCCTCTACACACTGGTATCTTTAGCAACCAGCCTGAGTACAACAGACTGCCGTCTCCGAGAACTCCTCCTGACAGGAGCTCGCTGGAAGGACTCATACGTCACTGTCCCGACTCAGTGAAATATTGACTGAGTAAGTCATACATTTCAATGTAGATCTTTAACATATCGACCCTTCCGCTTTCACCGTTTTTATACGGGACATCGAACCGTGCTGTGAAAAATTATTTTTGCATAGGTCTCCAAACAACTAATCATTTCCCCTCTTTCTTCCCATCAAAGGCTTACAGAATCAAAGCCAGGATGACAAGGTCTCTAAGATATGCTAGCACATCCTTCGCATAACTCACGACCGCTGAGCTGTAGCTAGGCCCCGGAAGACAGTTTAAACTCTCCCAATTTTGTCTGTGTTCTTGCCGCTCCTACCAGGGGTGAAATTAAATTGACTATCTATTAAAGCCCCTTAGTCACAGAACTATTTTTTTTATAACCCTGAAATCCCAAGTGCTTCGTGGTTGACTCGACTCTTACTCAATTCCTTCTTTTCTTTGAGAACCTTTCTCCTTCTCCATCCAAACATCTAAGATGTCCTTAGGTGGTTTATAAGAAACTTACAGGGCTTAGGAAGACGAAGATCCAAGAACTTTAGTAAAAATACAAAAATTAGACTAAACATAGATATGGAAGAGCTCACGAGAAGCGTCCAGAGGTGGAGAACTTTGCTCTGGTTCTTCCTCCCAGGCCCATGTTCCCAACAGTAAGACTCAGACACAAATTATATTTACAAATACCTTGGTCATATAGCTAGGCTCTTCTCTGACTACCTCATAACTTAAAATAATCCATGGATTCTAATCTACATTCTGCCACGTGGCTGGTTACTTATGCTCAAGCACCATGCGTCTGTGTCACCTCTTCCCAAGGGACTCTCCCATGCCTGACACTATTCCAGAATCCAGAATGGTTCCTAGATGTCCCACCTTCTCTTTCCTGCCTAAGCCATAGGCCATCAGATTGATGATTGACAGGTGATGCATCCATACAACACACAAGATAGTCTCTTTACACAGAGGGAAAGCCTACCAGGGAAGAGTCAACAAACGAAACAAGTCTCACATCAATACCTGGAACTTGATTTCCGGAAGGCATAATTCTTCTTCCCTTTTTAGACGACCTTAATCTACTTTGCTTCCAACAGAGACAATCTGCTCATTTTAAGACATAAATACCAGGTGTAACATTACGAAGGAAGTCAGAAACCAACATATGCAACCCAATTTGACTCTTTTCTGAAATTATCTATGTAGGCAGAGGATCAAAAGCAAAACTTGTCTCTTACACGTCATATCTGGAGGGGGTCCCGCTGGGACTGAGAAGACTGCAGGAAGCACCTGCCACAGATCCAATCTAGAATGTCCCCACAGGCTTACATTCTGGGGTCCACAGCTTATGAAGTTATTTTTAACAGTGTATAGTTTTTTTTTAAGAAATGAGTTTTTTGTCAGGCATGGCTCACACCTTTAATCCCAGCCCTCGAGTGGGGGAGGCAGAGGCAGGCGGATCTCTGAGTTTGAGGCCACCCTGGTCTACAGAGCTAGTTCCAGTACAGCCAGAGCTACACAAAGAAACGCTCTCTCAAAAAACAAAACAAGGGCTGGAGAGTTGGCTCAGCAGGTAAGAGCACAGACTGCTCTTCCAGAGGTCCTGAGTTCAATTCCCAGCAACCACATGGTGGCTCACAACCATCTGTAATGGGATCTGATGCCCTCTTCTGGTGTGTCTGTGTGTATATGAATGGTATACTCATATACATAAAATAAATAAATCTTTAAAAACAGAAACAGAACTCACAATTCAAAAAAAAAAAAGAAAATGAAAAACAAAAAAGTGATGATGATTATGATGAAAATGATAGAGAGACAGAAAGAAAAGGAAAATAAAAGAAATGGGGTTTAACGCACAAAATGAGTCACTGAGGGGCGGGCCTGTAAAGGTTATACCTCCCCACAGTTCTGCAGAGATCAGCTTCTGGTCCTCGGGATGTGAACTGTCGGTAACTACCTCTCACTTCTTAGGCCAAGGACAGAGTCACCCCCAATGTCACAGCATCCCCACCATGATGGACTAAAGTCCGCCTGAAAAATAAGAGCTCAGATAAACCCTTCCTCCCATAAGTCATTTCTGTCAGTCTGGTCACAGCAAAAGTAACTGATCCAGCATCCTCTCTTAATCTCAAGGTAACCAGTGAAAGAGTCACGTCAAAGGTCTTCACGTCTAAATTTCCACCTCTGGTTCTGAACACAGCCCACTGTGGGACTACAGACTCAAGCAACAGGAAGAGCAAATGTACCACCCACCTCCCGATGTCCAGCTCAGTCCGGTAACTACTTCCCAGAGAAGTACCTGAGTCCACATAGAGCCAAGAGGCTGAACAATATTGTATCCTGTATCTCAGGAGAGCACGGGCAAGCCCTGCTTGGTTGGCATGAGTGCCAATTGGCAAACGGACTCTGCTTTCCCAAAATCCAGAAACAACCTCCAGACTCCTCTCACACATGTTCCTGCTCTCTCAGCAAAGGGCTGTGGCCTTCAATGCACACTCTGGTGTCTACAGGCTTTCAGGCCACTGTGAAATACACCAGACACAGAATGGGAATAAGGTCCAGGACAATCAGGGCAAGCCTGTATAATAATTACCATGCCACCATTAGTGGCACTCCTTGAAACTGGGGACAGGAGGAGCTAGAGAGATGCCTCAGTGGTTAAATGGCACTCACTGCTCCTGAGGTAGACCCAGGCTTAGTTTCCAGCATCCACAGAAGGCCCACAAATGCCTGTAAACTTCAGTTATAAGTGACCTGACTGCCGGGCAGTGGTGGTGCACGTCTTTAATCCCAGCACTTGAGAGGCAGAGGCAGGCGGATTTCTGAGTTCGAGGTCAGCCTGGTCTACAGAGTAAGTTCCAGGACAGCCAAGGCTATACAGAGAAACCCTGTCTTGAAAAAGCAAAAAAAAAAAAAAAAAAAAAAAAAGTGATCTGACACTCTCTGCTAGCATACAGAGTCACTTGAACCTATGTAGTGCATATAAGATAAACTCATGCTGGCACACACGTGTCTATAAACAAAAATATATAAGTCTTAGATAAAATTATCAAGTAATTAATTAAAACATTATTTACAAGAGGGTAGAGGAAGAGAGGGTAGTTGACTACAATCTTTTCCCATTTCCATCCTTGACTAAAAGGAAGGACTAACTTTTTCAAACACTCAAAGGGCTACCACAGGAAGCAGGATGGAATCTGAAGGCGCCTTACCATAAGGATACTTAGTATCCAGTTTATTTTCTGCTGTTCTCCTCCAAGGCAACAGATCATCGCTGCACCCATTTGGCATTCCATTGTACCCGATGCCAACGATCTTGTTTTCCGTATTCACAATGCAGGCTCCCACCTGGAGAGAAACAGAAACATTGTAACTTCAGGACGTAGGAGATGTCAGCATAGGCGGGGCATCCCACACCGTGCAGCAGATTTACTTTGTTTCCTGAGTTGCCAAACTGTCCATGGTCCTCACCTCTCTGTGCACAACTCAGGAACTATCTGAACATCTTCCTACAAACCCAGTTTACCTGGGAACTTGGGTCCTTGCTTCTTTGAGCTGACAAGAAGGCTACCGCCATGAAATACTCTGGCCACTCCAGATAGTCATCCCGTTTTTTGCAGGAAATGTCACTCATGTTGGGTGTAGAAGTCATATGCCACTAAACATTGAGAAGAACAGTTGTCAATCTGCTTTCCAGGAAATGCATCAAGCAGCCCTAAACTCTGGGCAACTTCTGCGGGACTTAAGCAGAATCACAAAACACGAGTCCTGAACTTAAAGAGAAAGCACCCTGGGCTTAAGAGAACATTAAGAAATAATTTGAAAAGTCTGGATTTGGCACTAAGTTTCCAGATAATCCATGTACTGCTTGCTTTCCTATAGAATTTAAGTTCCTATATACTGCCTACAAAGCACCCCATCTTTTACGTCCTCCCTTATAAACATGGAAGGGAGAGAGAATAAAAATGTGTAACATCTAATAGATTCCAGACTGTCAGACTGTTTAAATCAATCTCTCTCTCTCTCTCCATATATATATATATATATATCAAGTTGCATTTCTAGCAAAAGTAGGCATTAGCATCGCATCTTACAAACTCAGAGAACTCAGGAAATTGGCCAAGTCCAGTGTACTGTAATATAAACAAACAAATAACATTTGCAAACAGGCCAGTTTAGTAACTAATCAGGTGATTTTTTTTTCTCCTTTTCCTTCCTCCTTCGTTCCTCCAAATAAATCGAAGAATCAACTATGAGGAATGAGTCAAATAGCGGAGGAAATGAGAAAATGCTCATACTTAAAACCAGGTTCTGTAACAGTGGGCTTCAAGGCCAGGCCTCAGACGATGGTCTCTGCAACAGGGGTGAGGTTGAGAAGTGGTAGGAAGAGTCACAGAACTTCAGCTAAGAAAATCCTTTCAAAAATAAACTAGCGGAGGAAGGCTAACCAGGGACACCCTATTCACTGAGAAATCTTAAGGTGGGAATTTTCCAAACTTCCCCGTCAGGCTACAAACGTTAAACTTATGCTGCTGTACAGGGCAACATCTATTGTCAACAGGTATGAGGAAGCACAATTAGCCAAGGACTCTGTCACCCCTGCAACTCTGCTCGCTGGTTTGACTGGATTCCCGCCAGCTTTAACGTTTGGGGGGGATGGGAAGGCGGGGGAGGGGGGGACATTTCTCCACCCGGGGGCTGCCCGGTGCTTGCTTTGTAAAACTCTCTGGGGCGCTGTACCCACCCACGAGCAACTTCAGAACCAGGAAACTGAGGCAGGGACGCCACTAGTGCAGGGAGAAACTGCTCCACCTCCAACAATTGCTCCCCCAACTCTGCAGCCGATTCTTAAGTCTCCCTCCTCTCTACCACGTGGGCGCCAGAAGAGACTCCGGGAACACCCTCTCCCGCTCCACCGTGGCGAGCCAGGTGCAGCCAACGTGCAGGCTGAGCACACACGAGCAGGGTCCTCCGCGAGGGGATGCGCCCACCGTCCGCTCCGCCGGGGTGCAGACCACGCTTGCACCGTCCGCCCCACACCGCCGCCGCGCGCGAGGGAAGGAAGTCGGGAGGGAGGCGGGGCCGGCGCGCGGCGGAAGGGGCGGTGGGGACGAGCGTGGCGTGCAACTTCAGGTGATCATGACCCCTGGTTGGTCACGACCCCCAGGTGGCCACGACCCCCAAGCAACCGTGGCCACGGGCCATTGTAGAGAGGATCTGCAGTCTGCTCAGCATGCAGGGAGTCAGCGTCTGTCCCGCAGCGGGACCTAAGTGTCGCGGTGACCTTTGCGGTTTTTCCTGGGCTTTTTTTTTTTTTCTCCCGCTAGTGGTGCAGGCTTGGACTCCGGGAGAGACCGCGCTTGGCCTAAGAGTTCGAGCTTTTTAGTTGCCCCTCCCAGTCCTCTGAATCCATCACCTGCTTCCTTAAGGACTTAAGATAAATAAATAAAGGTGACTTTAAAAACCCAAAGACTCCAATTGCCGCGGACTCGAAAGGGACAGGGAATGAAGGGACCTGATTCTGGCCTCTATAATAAGCCCTGCAGACTGTGCTGTAGCTATCTCTAGAATCATCTAGCCAGCACTTGCTTCTTGGCTTCATACTAGAAGGGTTTGGGTGGAGCAGCTGTGCCCAGAGGCCCCATACTTCGAAACTTTATTTGCATTGGTTTTTTGGTTGGCCAGGTTTAGAGTTAACTCTCCAAACCTGCGAAAGAACCTGAGATGCAAGCCAGTGCCTTCTCCCGCCACTCAAGGCTGACACTTGCCCACTTGACAGTCCCCTGGTAAAGTTTGTAGAGATCATATGCCCCAAGGAGCTACATCTGATTTTCTTCAACATCATTTACTGGGCTCTGATGTTTGACCCCTAAATCTGGAGGAAATTCCAGCACAAAATGACAAGTGTCCCTGTTTGTCTTATGCACATTTGGGCTACCCCCCCATAGTGCATGCCATTGCCCCATAAATAAAAGCTACTGTAATGATCATGACTTCGAGTGTGCACATCCCCAGTCTCAACGGCTAATCCAAACAAAAGCTTGTTAACTGTATTAATTTAGCCCCGCGGAGGAAGAATGATGAAAATAAACAGTTGGTTCTACCTAATTTCTCACTAGCGCGGACACATCATTCTTCATGTCCACGGTCCAGCCTGTAGATTCCGTAATTAAATTATGTACTGCTCTTGGTGGATGCCAGGAAAGCAAAGGGGAAAATATTTCATTGTTAACTATAGATTTTTTTTTTTTTTTGCCTTGATCAAACTCAGGCTTCAAAGAGCCACATAGATTAAAGTGATGGTTTTTAATGTCAAGTTAGTCACTTTAGTTGACTATCTTGTCGCCACTAAAATTCATTATGTCCTGAGCAAATAGTTCCTCTCCCCACCCTCTGCTTGGTCTTTGTCACCCTCATCTATAGTCCTTGGGTCTTGTTGGATTCATTTCTCTGCTCACCAACCTACAACTAATATATCACCAGTTGCTGCTGGTCCTTCAGCCACCACATCATTAAGCTTTCTTCCTTCCTTTGCCTTGGCAAGACTGTCAACCATAATTTAGTTACTTCTCATCGTTCTCCGTTTTGGTCCGCTCACACATTCCCCTCTGCAGTAAATCCAGAACCCTGCTTGCTGCAAACAGTCGCCTCATGGTTCCTGAATTTCACTGAAAGCTCCTTGCCTTAAAGATGGCATCGTTCACAAGACAGGAAACTCTCCTGATTCATGGTTTCACAACCAGAGGTTTCAGATTTTTTGCACCAACAGTAAAACCAGACAGGCAAGTGAGAAAAATGCACGCCTTCCCATGTCTTGCTCATTAACACCTTATAACTGAGTGTGAGCGTATGTGTTAAATCTCCCACTAATACTTTTCATTTGGGCTTATAATGGAGGCTCTTGGCTTCACCTACAACAGAGACGGGGTTGCTACACTTGCAGCCTTAGCTAGATTTTACCGCCCTAGGCAAGGTGAGGGGAGTGTCTCAAGGGATAGGCGGCATTAACGTGTTTGCAAGGGTTCTACTCAGACTTGGGCCCACTCCCCTGCTTACAGAACTTTGGCTTATCTACGTCTCTTACGTTGCTTAGAATGTATTTCAGTACATTCAGGTGGGGCAGATTAAAAGAGCCAGTCAAGGTAAAATTCCTTTGAGGCTATCCAGGAGGGGATTTGGGTGACATTCATAGATATTTTCCCTACAAAGATACCACCTAATAATTCTCCCACCTCTTTTATTTGCCAAAAAGGGAAATTTTTAACCAAAGAAACAGAAGTATACTAGTCAGGGTTCTCTAGAGTTATAGAACTTATGTAATGAATCTCCCTCTCGTATATATTGTATATACACATGTATGCATAGAAATATATAATGTACATTGTATGTATACACATATATAATATGAAATATAAATATATATTTTACACATATACACATACACACACACACATAAAGGAAGTTTACTGAAGTGACTTACAGGCTGTCGTTCAGCTAATCCAACAGTGGCTAACTGAACAGAAAGTCTAAGAATCTAGGACCTGCTCAGTTCCACACGTCTGGGTGTCTCAGCAGGTCTTCTGTATCTGCTGGAATCTCAAAGAAGCAGGCTCCTTCTTCCATGCCCTTATATAGGCTTCTAGCAGAAGCTGTGGCCCAGATCAAAGATCTCAAGATCCCGACCAGGGGTGGGTCTTGCTACCTCAAAGGTCCAGACTATAAGTGGATTTGCCCACTTCAAGCCAAGTAGGGAAGAGCACACTCTCACAGGTGTGCCCTCCAGTTCTGCATAGCATCACAGTGAGAGGATGGGAAGTCTTGGATCAAGATTTAATAAGTTTGTTAGGAAAGGCAGAACAGAGGGACTTAGTCAGGACAGACTGTGAGTTACTTTATAGCAACCTAGTAACCTTCAGAAAATACCTACTTGGGGCTTCTGTTAAATTAACAACATGAATTTAATTGATCTTTTAAAGATAATTTTCTACTATATACTAGTGCTTTAAAAATCGTAATAAGCAAACCAGTTCTTGTTCCTACCCAGTAAATGAAGAATAAACGAACTTTACTGCTGACCCATTTAACATATAAATACTGTTTCTAAATAGCCTGTTGAAATAGCCTTGACTTTACTTGAATCTGCAGGTCTACCCACCTACCTACCTACCTCAGTCCAACCATAAAATCAGGACTCTTAAATAGATTGTTATGAGTTCAAAGATTGTCAATAGCCTTCATTATTTCATAATGAAGGTCAGTAGAGGAAGGTTAACTTGGCATATTAAAGTGCAGATGCTTTGCTCTTGGTACATATACATATATACATGTGATGGCTTCTATATGCTTGGCCCAGGGAAGTGGCACTATTAGAAGGTGTGGCCCTGTTGAAGTAGGTGTGTCACTGTGGGTGTGGGCTTTAAGACTCTTATCCTAGCTGGACAGTGGTGGTGCACACCTTTAATCCCAGCACTTGGGAGGCAGAGGCAGGTGGATTTCTGAGTTTGAGGCCAGCCTGGTCTACAGAGTGAGTTCCAGGACAACCAGGACTACACAGAGAAACCCTGTCTCGAAAAACCACAAAACAAACAAACAAACAAAAAAAACCAACAACAACAACAAAACCACCCTTATCCTAGCTGCCTGGAAGCCAATATTCTGCTAGCAGCCTTCAGATGAAGATGTTGAACTCTCAGCTGTGCCTGCACCATGCCTGCCTGGATGTTGCCATGTTCCTGCCTTAATGATAATGGACTGAACCTGTAAGCCAGCCCCAGTTAAATGTTGTTCTTTATAAGACTTGCCTTGGTCAAGATGTCTGTTCACAGCAATAAAACCCTAAGACAATACATACACACACACACACACACACACACACACACACACACACACACACAGAGGACATGATATACCCTAGTGAAGTCACTAGTAAGAAAGGCACAATGTGGCAAGAGGTGGCCCTAGCCATTAGCTTCTAAATACAATTTAATAGGGGCTTCCATTTACAATAATTTTTAGGCATTTGCCTTATTGTGTGTTTGCGTGTGTGTGTGTGTGTATCTGTAAATGTACCAATCAAATATTGGCCAACTAAATAAACCAGTAGAAAAGAATTGCTTTATGCCAGATCATTTGTAGTTTCCAACACAGAAAGGAAAACTTTGCAAGTGTTATTCATTCCCCGCCTCCTTTTTCTGAGTTTAAACACTTTGGCATCTGGAGGGACATTCGGCAGGCAAGACCGTGGCTGGTGGGTCCAGCAACAAAGGGGAAACAGAATTGTTTTCAAGACAAAAACAAAAAATCCAACTCCGAAGTTTTGCTCTTGGCCCCAAACTGGCCATTTGTACCCCAGAACTGAAGGTAGCAGGGCCGGCCGTGTGCCTTTGTGTACTATGCTGATTGTGCCTGTGGCTTGCTCTTCCTCCGAAGACTTGAACTTGTAGCCTCTTTCATACATAACCGGTTGAAGCTGCTGGGAATTACATGTCTTATCACTTCTTAAAAGAAAAAAAAAAATTACAGAAAATGTAAATCTAAAAGAAATGGGCAATTATCTTGTAGCACTTTCTACTTCTGTGTAAGTTACCCGAGTGCCAATCATTCCACTTTTTAAAATTCAGATTTGTCAAGCGGCATGTAAGCTTTCAGTGTTGTACAAGAAAAGATAGTGCTTCGGGTGGAACAGTCACTTACGCCGGGGGTCTGTGGAAGCTCCTACCTGAAGAGAATTGATCAGATGGCTGGTTTTATAGAAACAGTAACGATCTCATTAAACACACCCTCAGCTCTGGGGTCACCATGGAAGCGCCTGAGGGGTAATAGCCAAGGTGTTAGGCTCCTGGATATAAAACTTCTTATGGACATGGCACTCACCACAGGCCAAGGTGAGTGTTGTGGTTTTGCTGAAATAACAAGGTGAGTGGCTAAAAATGGTTCTAAATGGAAGCCCTGTTA